GCATATTACTCCTAGTAACCCTCACTGGGGGCGTGTTGAACAGTGATATAGGAGGAGCTGACCCTGATATTGATCTTCGGATGATGAAGGAGACATTCGAGGACGTTTACTCTAAGCATTATCAAAACAGTCTTAGTAAAGTCGTGTTAAAATTTGTTTTGTGTCCCAAGATAACGTCAGGGGTGTGCGATTTATTGCAGTCGATTCTGCCCCCTTCTTCTCCACAGGGTAACCCTAATTTCCCCCTCACTGCCCTCCCCCTCCTTCTCCTAGAGGACCAGTCTTATCACGCGAGTGTTAATTCACTCATTGAGAAGCTAAACAGCGTCTATTGTCAGTTTAAACAGTCGGACGAAGGAGTTAATTTCTCGGGCGACGTTTGTATTGTCTCTGATTCCGTTAGCTCTTTAATGGTATATGATATTTTGACACGCCCATCCACGCCTCTTTTATCAAACCGGGCCAATTTGTCGTCATCTTCGAATCATTTGGACGGTGGTTCGTCTGACGAGGGTCACTCCCCTTTCTCTTCTCTTAGGAGCGTATCGGTACCTAGTGGCTCTAAGAGTGTCCCGTCTTCTCGAAAAGGAGGCGGGGCTTTGGAGCTGCCTGGCCTGAGGGGACATCCCTCTTCTCTTCTCTCGTCTTTGCTGTTTAACGTGTCAAAGGTGTTCACGTTTGGATCCCCACTGGGTCTGGTCCTCTCATTGAAAAAATTAAGAGGTACGTGTGTACAGTGTATATGAGTGTAGAAAAATTATTTTTTGGATTTTCCCATGCATTTATAAAATGCTAAAATTTAGGACTGCAAATAATGAGTATTTTCTATCTGGAAATTTTTACTGTGATTTTAATTTTACTGGATCAGAATTTTGTAAAAAATTTCTATAATTATGTGCCTCTTTCAGTAACGCCTGACACAATCTTATTTTGTAAAATTTAAATTTCAGTACCATTTTAAAATACAAAAAAATTTCTACTGCATAAATTTCTTGATTTACTGTATTTCATTGTGTTTTTAGGTGTACCGCTATCAAAGCCGAAGTGTTCTTCTCTTTATAATTTATTTTATGCTGTGGATCCTCTGGGCTTCAGACTGGAGCCATTGCTCGATGAATCTTTCAGTTCTATTGATCCGCTCCTCATCCCTTGTTACCTCATTTATCCAACTGGTCAGTTCGTGTGACTAGCTAATGATTTTGATAGCTACCGTAAATCTGGTTATTTTCAATGTTTATAAAATACAGAATGGAAAATTTAGGTGCTGGAAAATTTCATATGCTGCCTACTCAGCCCAATATGTTAATAGGTGAATAGGAAATATTAGCAATTCTAAATTTAGCGTGCCTCATTGCTGTACGAAAATTACCATCACTCGAAATATTCCAGATTTACGGTATTGTGTAGCAACTGCCCTGGTACATGTACATGTACTGTGTTTTTATACATAAAGAGTGTCTTTTTCATCTACTCGGGCCATTTCCTATAGGATTTTTAGCATAGTGTTCAGCTTCTTCTCAGTGGATTTTTATAGTTACTACTCCCTTGTACTATAGTGCAGGGTATTTTGTCAAAAATGACTAGGAGAGAATTTCTCAATTTTCCTGATACATATGCATGTACTTATGTTGTGTAGAAAGTTTGAACTGATTCCGATCAAGTTTGGATTTTTTTACAAATTTTAAAGTTACTCCAAAATCGGCCCAAAGTCCCTGTACTATAGTACAGGGATTTTGGCCAAATTTTGTCAAAAATGAAAAGGAGAGAATTCTCCATTTTAATAATTTTATCTGATACATATACATGTACTTATGTTGTGTAGAAAGTTTAAACTGATTCTGATCAAGTTTGGATTTTTTACGAATTTTAAAAGTTACTCCAAAATCAGCCCAAAGTCCCTGTACTATAGTACAGGGACTTTTTCGTAATTTTATCAAAAAACTGAAAGAATACTCCATTTTTAATAATAACATTAAAAATACTCTTGATATTGCTATTTCATTCTAAATCATATTCCATGGTAGTATTATTATTATGATTTATTGAGCAATGACACTACATGTACATGTACATGTAATAATTACAATACTCATTACTAATAAGCTTATCTACAGTGCAGATGTGGGTGGGTTATTCTTTTCTGTATCAAATTACTCAGTTTGTGGTATACCTGTACTGGATCAAAGGCCATTGAAAGTCCTTTTACATGTACTTTAGTTAAAATTATTTTTTTTCAATGGCAGAAAATGAAATATTAATTTCAACTATTGAAAGTGATTTCCATACATACGCTGTATTGTAATGAAAGCAATTATCTTTTTTTAGAAGATGATATATACTTTTGACAGCAATTAATATTTATTTTAGACGATTCTTGTTTTATCTGCAGGTGACAAATCTTCTGTTGCTCTCTCAAATTTCGTGTCGTACGTGACTACAGACGAGAGAAAAGGGCGTGGCAGTGGACCGAGCACTTCTAACGAGTGCCTCTTTGTATTAGATGAGGAACTTAAAAAGTCAGATACCAGTAGAAATGGTTAGGGGTATTACCACATAATACATGTACATGTAGCTCGTACCGTATAGGGGAAAATTTTTGAGGGCTGTAAATTTTGCAAATTTGCCTTTAAAATCTATTTTGCGCCGTCTGCCATCTTGTATTGTAATAATTTAATTTTTGCAGAAGCAATTTTTGCAAATCTTTTCAAAAAATTACAAAATCCGCAAAATTTACAGCCCTTGACAATTTTGCGCTATACGGTAATTTTTGTGATTTTTGCTAATTTGCAAGTTTTAATTTGACAAATTCCTATAGTCACATTTGACAATAAGTATATTCACATATTTTATAGCTAGTTTATGCTTTTGTGGGCTAGATATTTTGTGGTTTGTTGCTCCTAGTGGGGCAACTTTGTGGTTTTAATTTTCATTTTAATTCTCATACTTGGCACTTTGGTGGTTTTAATATTATGTAAACCACGAAATGCTGCGAAAATAACCCACTATTTGTACATAAATGGTTCAAAATGACTTTGAACAACTAGCTGTTAAAAAAAACCAAAAATTCGTCAAAATTTCCCCTCCCAAAATCACCAGCTATTACCATATAGTGCTTTAGTTTTGAGGAGCAGTACTTTTGCTGTTTTTGTATGTTAGCATGCAACCGCGAGTTTAAAAATCTGTTAAATATCAGTGCTTGTATATACAACACTGATAGTGAGGCATATAGTCTACTACATGTATAACTAGTAGGTATTGAGGCTATAGTAAATGACTGTTGACTATAGCCATCACTTTACACTGCTAAATATTCAATTGACATTAAAGGTGTGGCACTAACATTGCACATCAAAGTTATTTCCACAAAAATTTGATTTTTATTAATCTTTGAAAATTTAGCTCCTCAAAATTAAAGTGCTATGCAGTAATCCTCAATTTAAAAAATATCACAAGATCTACCGTAATTCCTCTAAATATTCGACGCTCTAAATTCGAAAATAAATAATTATTTCAAAATTTCTACCATAATTCATTCTAAAAATTCGTTTTTAATATTATTGTTCCACGTGATTCTAATTTCATCTCTTACCTAAGTTTAGTATGAGAGAAGGATACTCTGAACAGCCAGGTTAGTATACAGCTGGTTTCGTGTATTAATGGATCCCTCCAAATTCGACAAAATAATTTATTTTTGAGCTTCATAGCTACTCTCCCTCTAAAAATTCGTTTTTAAAAATTACAAATACAAAATTTGATGTGACGAATTTTTAGAGGAAATACGGTATATCAATTTCTCTCTCTCTCATTTTTCAGACCACAGGTTCTGGTGGGGTTCTGATAGAATAGATTACGTCCTACAGGCTCCGAATAGTTTAGAGGGCGTGGTCTCCCTCCCTAACACTTCTTACGGCCACATCGTTCAGTCTCGCTACCTTGAAGCCAAAGAATTAGCATCATTTGTATTGAGACAGGTATGGCAGAAAAGTGGGTGTGGTTTTGGTTTTGTGTTTGTATAATGATTGCAGGTACAGTATGATATGCTATTTTATTTGTGTGAATTTTTCGTAATCTTTAAATTTGTCAGCTAAAAAGCAAAATTAAATTTCTGCAAAATCTGTACCATAATTATTATTTATAATAATTGTTACTATTATTATTTTTATTATTTAAAATTAAACTCCTGCACGCCATATTTGGTAAATGAATTTCAGAGTGCATGTACTTTTCGAAATTGCCACATTTATAAAAGGATATTAGCTGAAATGTTTGTTTATCACATTAATATATAATAATTATAATTTTGAACTTTTTACTTTCAATGTCCCTCAATCTCTCCTTATTGTGGTCTCCCTCTAATACTGAATACTGTCATACCTGCTACTGAAAATATTTCTGCTGTTATTTTTCCCATCCTCTATTTTTGGATTCAATTACATGCGTGGGCGGTATTTGAGGTTTATAGGATGCGTGGGCGGATCATTTACACACTCTAAAATGGAAGTTGTGTCTGTAGAAGTGAGCATATTTTTTATAAAAATTATTTTAGTCAATCCAGTGGCTGAAATGTCCGTGTAAGTCAACATAAAGTGAAGACACAACTTAGGCCCATTGTTTATAAGTGTGAAGCAGTAGTTGTGATACTTTATACAGTTAATCCTGTTTATTATGGACGCCTTGGGACCCAGTAATACCCACCCTCCTGATTATTATGAAAGTGTCCTTATCTCAGAGGTTCATTAATACACATTTATGTTGCTATGAGAACTGCATGATCATGTACCATATTATTTCCTTAAATAAAAGCCCGGGCGTCTGTTTCTTAAAATGGTATGATTAAACCTTGAAAAAGATTTTTAAAATACCATATAGCGCTTTAATTTGGCGGAGTTTTATTTTGGCGATTGGCGGTTTGCAAGCGGAATCACTAATATTAAAACCACCAATCATTAATGCCAAAGGAAGTACCGTAGGGCGCCTTTTTTTTGAGGGCTATAAATTTCGCGGATTTCGCGATTTTTTTAAAGATTCGCGAAAATCAAATCAATACGGTACAAGATGGCAGACGGCATAAATTCGCAAAAATTAAATCCGCGAAAAAGAAATCCACGAAATTCATAGCCCTCGAAAAAAAGGCGCCCTACGGTATATCTACAAGGCATCTGAGTTATTTCAAGGCTAGATTTGCATATTCACATTAGGTTTGCATTTAAGGATAGTAATGTATAGCGGGAAATTTTGGAGGGAGTTAAATTTCGTGTATTGCTAAATTTTGGTCATGTGTATATATAATGACTCAAAATGGTGGATTTTGTTTTGGCGAATGGCTATCAAAATGGCTATCAAAATGCCAATTTGCCAAATTTAATTCCCCCCCCCCCCAAATTTCCCAGTATGTGATATATGTCTTGACTATAGATGTCAGAGATAGTAGGAGGTTTGAGTGATGTAGTACTGCTTTAATTGCTGGAGTTATATTTTGCAATTTTGTGCAATCGGAGCAAAATTGAATGCACGCGGGAATTAAATTTTGCTTCCATTAGCTATTAATGCTTTTGAGAATTAAAGTAATAGGCTGACAAGCTAAATTCTACTTACACGGTAAGTAATGTATTTATTTAGGTGTAAGGAATATGTATTTCAGAACAGGAAATTGTTTAAAAATTATTTTTTGTAGCCATTTTGATGTACATGCATGTACTATTATCTGCTTTTTTGATTGAAATAGTTTCGAATCTTCAAAATGTTTTTGCACAAGTTAACTTTGTGGTTGAGAGTTGTTTGGCATATTGCATTATACAAGTGTCAAATTTCAAAGAAATTAGTACTGGCCCAAAGTTTGAACCGCAAAAACCATGGGCTAGCTACATGTGTATCTCCAATTTTTATTACAATCCAATTTAAATTTCCACAATTTTTGGTGAAATTTGACCCAAGACCATCTTGTACTAGGTCCTCTAAGAAGTCTGGTAAGCATAGGAGCTCGTTTTCCCGGTATAGCGAGGCTGCAAAAGTCGTGGCAGCCATTTTATTTTTGGGTAAATTCTATTTAGTAACACTACTGCGTTACTAATACTACAGGGACTTTGGCCTGATTTTTTTTAAGCAACTTTAAAAATTTGTAAAAATCTAATAATGATAATAAAATAATGACTCTACAGCAATGATTATAAAATATTACATGTTTTTTAGTAATAGTTTTATATAAAAAGATTGGAATATCTCCCTTCTCCTCCCTTTTCCATACTCGACTGGGTTTGGCTGTATTAATTTTGTATTAATTTTTTCATTCTGTTATGTCTGGATTTAATCCTATTACGACACTTATTATTATCATTATTATACTTTTTATTTAATTAGTTGTACTGCTTAGCGTGGGTCACAGTGGGCATAATAAGAGAGGGAGAGAGAGAGATTGAAAAATCATGGTAATTAAATATCATGTATTGATCAAGAAATACATGTACATTCATGTATATGTAATTTGGTGAAGGAATGTGTAGTGTATATGTAATATAGCAAAGCCCTGCAGTAATATGGCTCTATTAAAGTCTATTCACTTTCACCTGACCCCTGGCTTTTTTCAATTAATAAATAACTACGTCACATCCGCATTCTTTACGTATTTGTGGTTTTGGAATTGTTTTTGTTGCGCTGAAGGGATGCAGATAAGTAGCAGCTGAATTTATTCTGGCTGTTCTAGCTGCATAATTGCGGTCAAAGGCATGTCATTGAGTTTATACAGGGACATCCAAAAAAGGCTAAGGCCTTATCATTTTGACCCGATCTTTTTATCTAAAGGACGGGAAGGACCTAGCGAGTCTAATGGTGCAAACAAAATTTCTAAATTCCGTGTTTATCAAAAGTTATAACAAAAAATCATAGGTCAGGTGAAACTGAATAGACTTTTTTTAGTTTTATATTCAAAATAATATTATAATATACAGATGCACATGTACGTTACTTCTATAATGTGTGTACATATACATATATGTACTGTATAAACTTGTTGGGGCTTGTACATGTACATGTTAATTTATCGCCTCACCCTCTGAGCAAACACCCACTATACAACAGACAGTGACAAACACAGACACACTCTCACACACCTTTACATTATCAAGTATTAACACGCCCCCTCATGTCTGCAGTAGGTGCTCCCCCTCATGTCTGCAGTAGGTGCTATACAGATATGTCTCCCCCTGTGTGTCAATAATGTAATGGGCCTATTGATATTCCGTATGTACGCACGCGCATGCGCAGAAGGAAAGACTCAAGGTTTTAAAAAAAATAAGTTTAGCTGTTTTCTGCTTCTCTTTCTAATTTTTTGAAGACTTTTAAAGCACTGTGCATGTATAGTTTAACGTTAGAATTCTTTTATCTTTCTTTTTCTTCCTCTCTCTCTCTCTCTCTCTCTCTCTCTCTCTCTCTCTCTTTCTGCAGGTTTTAATCTGTAAAGGTCACGGAGCTGTATCTGCTGCAGCTGCTGCTTCAAGTAGCTCTGGATTCTTTGTCCCCTTCACTCCATTTACCTCAACAGTGAAGTGGGCAAAGAAAAAGACTCCACTAAGAATACAGGTAAGAGAGAGAGAGGGGGGAAAGCAAGCAGATGGTAGATTTATGGTCAACCTAGACATATAAGACATGTACACACACACACACTCACTCAATTCTATACATGTACAACACTTAATGCTGCTAGCTTATAGACAGTAAGCCTTACATGTTCAAGACAGTTCTAATGTCATAAGTGCAACCACTGTTTAACCTCTGGCCTGGTTTTCAGTACTTTTCAAGTCTTCCAGAGCCACAGTGGCTGACCATTCCTCTGTGTATAGTTTAAGTGCGTGGCTCCAAGCTCTTATTGTTTTCCTTTACTTCCATTGAGGGAGAGTAGACTGTGTGTATGTGTGTGTGCTAGTGGTTGAGTTGATTTGATTAGGTTATATATGAAATGCTTATCATTACACATACACAGTCTGGAAAATGCTATTATTGGATGGCCCTAGTGTGTGTTGTTGAGTGATGGTCCAGTGGAATGGAGTATTGTGTATATATGTGGGGCTCCTTTTCTCTCTGTCTCTCTCTCTCTCTCCCTCTCTCTCCCTCCTTCCCTCTCCCTCTCTCTCCCTTCCTCCCTCCCTCTCTCTCTCTCTCCCTCTCCCTCTCCCCCCCCTCTCTCTCTCTCTTTCAAATGATTAATGGTTTAATATCGAAACTATAATCATAAATCTACAGACATGCACTTTTGATATAATACATTCATTCATAATACATTACTAGTCTGCATCCTACATCCATTGCCAGGGAATTGCTGCTGTGGGTGTATTGAAAGAGGTGGTGGTATCAGACTGAGACAATCATTAAGGTGTTGTTGTAATAATAACACTCTAAATGCCTGTACCCTGTAAAACAATGAGATATTCCAAAATAACACATTGAGAGAGAGAGAGAGGGAGGGAGAGAGAGGGAGGGAGGGAGAGAGGGAGTGAGGGAGGGAGAGGGGAGAGGACTAAGTAAGATATTTGTAGTCATGTCATTATGTGTTTCTGGAGGACTCAAAAATTTGTTTATTCTTTGGAATCGAATGTTCTTTATACACGTACGAGACTACAAGTATATTTATTGTCTCCCTTTTCTCTCTTCCTTTGCTACAATCTACCTATCTCTTCTCTTCCCCCCCCCCTCTCTCTCTCTCTCTCTTCATTTTCTTCTCCACTCTATCTATTACATCTACAGTGTCCATGTATTAATGAAATATACAGTATATACATTGATGTATACATGCATTCACATAACATTGTGATGCTAATGTTGGGATAGTATTTTATGTACATACATATACATGTGCATGTACATGTGCATGTATATGGTATGTAGTATTTGGTGGTTGGTTAGTTAGTTTATGGCATTACAGTTTTTCTCTTTATCTCACTTTCTCTCTCTTTCTCTTTCTCTTTATTATACGCCCAATGCCTGATATTAGTTTGACAGCTTCCAGTGTTGTCTCCTCTGTGACACTCTCTCCCTTTCATTCTCTCTCCTCTCTTTATTTTGTACATCAATTCACATACGTTATACATGTATGTACATGTACATGTACATGTACATACATGTCTTTTATAGTTTATACCATATACAGGCATTTACATGTACATGCGTTACATCTATTTATTTAAATTGTATGTACATGTACATGGAAATATTATTTTTATGGATGTAGATTGTACAGTTTTTTAGTAGCAATGTACATGTACATGCACATATCTGTATGTGTGATATTATAATGATTAATGTAGATGATTTCTTCTCTTTCTTCTAATAGAAAATGTCTCCCAATCATCGTGCTGTGGATGTTGTGATTGCTTCCCATTCAACTCAGTTGCCTCATCTCCAGGCAAAGTTCTTTTATGGACCGTTGAACATGGCAACGCTCTCAGGAGAAATGGTAATATTTTTGATAATATCTCTCCCTCTTTCTCCTCTCTCTCTCTCTCCCTCCCTTTCTCTCTCTCTCTCTTACTGCATGTAATGTACATGTACATGTAATTCTAATACTGATAGAGCATTATGCATATGCTATTAAGTTTTTTGTCTTCAAGGGATTAAGTACTAAGTAAGAGTTAAAGCTGCATGTCCAGTTAAATTTGTCTCGAATTATACCAAATTTTTTTATCTTCAAATACATGTATATGTACATACGCTATGTGTCATTGTAATGTTGTAAGAAACATGTTTATATCCATGCCATACAGCACATCTCCATTGCTTTTAAAATTGTCTAATTACATTCCTTTTTGGTATCACCATTTTTGTACTGGCTGGTCCATAAGATAAGATTAATCTGAACTAACATGTGTCTTTATTTGTCACAGTATGCTCTATTTATTTATTTATTTATTATTATTATTATATTATTATTATTATTATTTATTAGTCTCCAGATTCTATAGCAAATATAAATATTGTGGGCTGCACTTATAATTTGTGATAATTATCATTATTTATTTATTATTAATTTTATTTATTATTTATATATACCCTGTATATAGAGAGAGAGAGATAGAACTATTAATTGCACATGTACAATGTGTGAGATATTATATTATATTTTATTTAATAGCATCACTACATTGATATTAATTTAAGAATAAGGAATCAGTTTATCCAGTGCGGCTGATGGTAGACACTCACCACCTCCCATTCATTACCCACAGATCTCCTGAGTCACCTATTCCCTCCTTTTATTGCCCAATACAGTGGTCACATGACTTAGACCTCATGTCTAGGCTCTGTTAGATATACTTGTAATGTTATTTTATGTTTGCTAACACTCTGCATCTATTCAAAGTGTAATGGTAACTGATTAATTACTATCACAGTTCCCTAAGTACAACAATGTATATGCATGTTGAGTCATTTTCATTTATATATTTTAGTTTGCTCATCTCTCTTCCCTTTCTCTCTCTCTCTCTCTTTAGTTATAATACTGCTCTGCTTCTCTTTCTCTCTCTCCCCCCCTCTCTCTCTCTCCCTCTCTCTCTCTCCCTCCTCTCTTTCTCTCCCTCTCCCTTATCTCTCTCTTTCTTCTTTCTCTTGTTTTCTATTTGCTTGACTAGCCTTAATTGTTGTGTGTGGGTGTTAAAACTGTGTGGGATGGTGAAACTGGTCTTTGGGACTCTTCTCCCTCTCTCTCTCTGTTTAACATTCTCCTCTTTTTAAACAAACACTCAACAGAACCTGATCTCTTACACCTAGTCCACAAGACATAACTATGTAGGAAGAATCACCAATCCCTATGCACCTACATTAAATGTACTACCCATATGTAATAAGTGTGATACTAAAACCTAGCTTTATGGATAAGTATACATGCTCTTATGCCTATTATGGCTAGTTTAAGACTCAGTTCATTTTTATTGTAATTATTTGCTTTGTTTAGTGGTGGAGAAGGTGTAGGTGATAATGTTAGCTTTCATACTATGACAGTTTTTGGATTTGTGTGTTGTGTAGAGGTGATGGGCTAACTGTCATCTTGAAAGACAGCAGTTGAGGTTATTGTATCATTTGTCTATTGGCTGTGTGGCTGCTGTGAATCCAATAAGTGATTTACATACACAATCATCATCATAATGTGTGTGACAATTGTGAAGCTCTCTATAATGGGATTAGACCATGTGGAACTGTGTATATGTGAATTTGGACACTTTATTTTGGTGGCTCTTTATCGTGTACATTTGATTTTAAAATTGTCACACACACTCTCTCTCTCTCTCTCCTTTTGTCTTAATTCTTTTCCTTTTCTTCATATCCCTATGCACACAGTAAGAGTTTATCCTTTATATAATGTCCTTTCATTTAAAGCCTCTTTTTATTTAAACAGTTAACTACATGTACATGTAGCTTTTGGGGGATACTTTTTAAAGAGGTATCCTTTACAAAAGGTTTCTTTAATCAAGGAGGTCCTTTAAGCATTCTTCTCCTTCTTTCTCTTTCTTCTCCATTTATTAAAAAGTCTCTATGTACATGTACAGTGGCACAGACAAGTTTTGGAAAGTATGGGGATAAGCCAAGCCTTATACTCTTGTTAAGGAAATGTATCTAACTGACCATGAATAAAATATTATAACTAAAATATGTTCCTTTGATTCAGCTCCCCTAGCCTACAGTACCCTGTATATAGCAAAGCTGTTAAAGTGTAGTGAATCCTCCTACTGCCTTATACTCATCCCTAAATACAAAATAGGCTCAGTATATTGTCCACCTTATTTATTGTTTTGCTCCAACAGCTCATACTGGTGTTGTCCTTCATTTTCTAAAATTTACCATATCTTGCCTTGACTGTTTATCATTGCGTGGACCGTTTGGTACTTTTCTGTTGGCCTTCTCGGTTGTTTTTAGGCCCTTTAGCAGTTTGTTAGTCAGACATGTCAATTTTCTATCCTAGTTTACATTGAGGTGTTGCAGTAACTGTTTGAATGAGTCCTATGTGTGTCTTACTTCTGTATCTAATTACATGTACATACATGTATTACATGTACATGTATTTTATATACGTGTAGTGTGTGTGTGTGTACATTATGACTCTCTCTCTCCCTCCCCCTCTCTCTTTTTCTCTTCGTTTGTATCAGAAGTGCCTCGTTTGACAGGTCTAGTTGATAAAGGTGGTGTCTGTTTTTTGAACTCGAGAATAGATAAAGTGTAACAGCATGCAAGAAAGTGCAGTTTGTTTACATGTCACGAATGTACATGTACATGTACATGTACATGTACATGTACATGTACATGTACAGTATATGCATGTATATGTACATGTAGATACGTGTACATGTAAATCTGTTATTATTAAGTTATTTTCGACCTTTTTTTGAAAGGTCAGATCCTTACATAATTTATATTGTTGTACCCGCACATTCTGACTATAGTCTAATCAGGTTTTTATAATCCAATATCTTTAATGTGGTTGTAATTTACACTGTCTGTTTGATTTTTAATATTAAATATACAGCATAGCCTCTCTTAATGGACACTCTATAGCGTACACCTCCATTTAATGGACAGCACCTAGTGTACCAATTACATTCCTTACTGTATAAAATAACCTCCACATAAAGGACACCTCCGTATGATGGACTAACTTTCTTATACCAAAGTGTCCATTATATAGAGGCTACACTGTTTTTCTAATGATACTTTTTCTGTGGTTTAGCTGCTTCAGCGAAGCTAGCTCTTTTCTTCCTTTCGTTTTGGTTGCATTTGCTCGTTGCACCATATCAGTATAAATACTTCCTCTATTCTCAGCTTTTTTAGGGGAGAGCAAAAGCACCTAGTGTATACTTTTTGGAGACCGTGAAAAGAGAGAAAGAGAGAGAGAGAGAGGGTGGGATTATTTTTTTTTCAGGACCATATTGAAAGAGGAAGGAGGGATTTTAGGAATGGGTTCTTGTACTGTATGACCTCATATATATATACATGTATACATGCACTTTATGCTTCACTAAGTGTCAAAAAATAAGAGGACAATTAATATGACCACGTACATGTACATAACTGAATTGAATCATACATGTACATGTACATGAAATGTCCCAAAACTTTAATACTTACTTGTTTTATTTTTGTTGTATATTTTTAGGTAAATATATTCATCCTCTCTCCTTCTCCCCAAGAGAAGGAGTCCATTTCCGTAGAAGATAACGAGGGTGAGGCTAGAGACGGGAAGAAGGAGAGGGCGTGGTGCTATCTTGACTCCGCCTCTACCGATAAACACGGTCGTATCTCATATCCTCTTAGTCCAGAACAGGTCCCCTCTGCTCCAGGAGTGTATCCGCTGATATATCTAGTCAAGTATGTGTGGGGGAGAGAAGGAGGATGGACAGCTCAAATCATACGTATTGTACTTGAGTCGAGTTTAAAGGTGTTTGTTCCAAAAAATAGCTCCGAAATCACTCCCAATTTTGATTACATTTTCTGATACATATTGATGTACTTATGTTGTGTAAAAAGTTTGAGCTGATTCCGACTTCAATTTTTCAAGTTATGGCCATTTTAAGAAAACACCAAAAATCTGAAAATTACCCAAGGCTATAGCCCATAGTTTTTTCCAAAAAATGGCTCCGAAATTGCCCCCAATTTTTATTACATTTTCTGATGCATATTGATGTCCTTATGCTGTGTAGCAAGTTTGAGCTGATTCTGAGCTGCAATTTTAAAGTTACGAGCATCTAAAGTTGACAAAGAATCGCTAATTTTTATTAAAATTTTCTCTAGACACGAACAAAGATGCTTGTAGATGAACATTCAGCTGGAGCTGCTAGACTAAATTAGATAAAACTAATTAAAATATTTTCATAGAAACAGAAACCTCTAAAGAGGTCTCTACCACTTTTACACCTTCTAAACCAGCAGCTTTGTTTAAACACAAACAATGAACTGTAACTATATACATGTATGCACACAAAGACTCCATTATTCATTATTATTATTATGCATGTACATTAATGCCGGACCATTTTATATGTACATGTACTATTATGCCTGATTAAACTGTATGAGATGATTATTTTTGACGGTAAAATCCATGTACTTTAGACATTGTACACAAAATTGCTTCAATATGCTACGTATGGTGTGAAATAGAGAGAGAG